TTGTTTGTAAAATATTAATATATGAATCTTAAAATAAAATGCCTTTTTATCGCCAATAAACTGATTTTGGATTTTTATTTGGCATTTGGTGTATTATACCAATCGACTCCCCCATAATAATACAAAAATTATACAATGTACAATTTTTTATATTATCAAATTATATTATTTATATAATTCCCCCCCCCCAGCCTCCCCTCTGGCGCCACCCCTGAGACCAAGGACTTATAAAACTGTTACCGTTAACTGTTAATCAGATCAGACAGTGGGGTTTGATTATTTGCTGCCTTTCATCGTTCGTGTGAACTACTACGTAACTACGCTACTAAGCTAGTACTACCCAATCAGAATAAAGCAAAAGACGGATTGGTATTAGGCGAGGCGGTAGGAAAGAATAATCGGTAGATAATCATTCCAAGTTTTTGTACTATATAATTCAGAAGCACCGTCTTCCACTGGTAAGTCCTCATGATTCGCCAACCGCTTGATAATGTGTGGTTGGTTTATGTATATCTACAGGCTAGGAAATAGGCCTGGCCTATTCCTAGTTATTAGAATAGGCCTAGTAATAGTACTGTACTTAGCCTTAGCAAGTTCGCTCTGTCATAGGTGGCCTACTAGACTAGCTAGGCCTATCATTTTTCAACTTTCATCAACCAACGCATTGAGTCGTTTTATATGCGTTACGAGCAACTATTAGTATTACGTAACTTTCCTTGTTGAAGGGCGTCAGAAGCGGTCCGGCTGGTCCAGTTTTGGTCGGACCAATAATTTACAACTCAATATCGTTTGTAAGCCAAATTCTACTTTCTCTGACGCAATCAAACATCTTGCACATTCAAATTTTTTTATTTTATTTTTTATTTTATTTCAACATCATCCAACAGTGACCAGTGTAAGTAATATAACATTAAATTCAAATATAGGTCTAAAAATAATTAAAAATATTAGAAATTCACTTAGTAATATAATTAAAAATAGTAGTAATTTTTGATAGAAGCAGTTAAGACTATCAAAACATATATCTAAGGAAGGATTGAAACAGATAGAATTATATAACTTAGGAAGACGACAAATAAAACCATTTTTTGTAACGTTAACCCTACCCGGTGGAACCCAAAATAATCTAGGGGGTCTTAATCTATGCAAAGGAACTAGGATTTGAAAAAAAGAAGTGAAATCACCGTCAAAACTGGCATTTATGCATTTGTAAAGAAAAATAAGATCAAATAAAATATTCCTTCTCTCTTCAAGTAAAGCCAACTTAAGACTTTTACCAAATTTACGAAAATTGAACCTACAGAATTTATTTTGAATACGTTGCAAACTAACAGAGTGTGCAGTTGAGATTGAATTAAAAATAATAGAACAAAACTTTAGATCTATCTAAGGATTTATACAAAGTAATTAAAGCATTACCATCATCGATATGTCTGCAATGTCTCCAAATGAATCCAAGGAGTCTGTTACTCTTAGCTACAACATAATCAACATGTTTACAAATATTTAAAGAAGAATCAACAAATATTCCTAAATTTGGAGAGGCCGGCTGGGCCTCCCTCTAACCTGCCACTTCCCAGTGGTGAAACGAGGCCTAGGTTCCGATGGGCCCTTTTTTCGAGAGTCCAGGTTTAGGTTAAGAATGCTATATCTAGAAAAATAATGACCAAATCACAATTAGTTTTTTTGTTAATAATATGAAAGACAGTGTATTGCCAAAATTATATAAAAAATAAATTGTGTGAAAATGAGATGCTTATTATATTCCTCAATGAATGAATAAATAAAGTGCAAGAAACATGACAACATATTATAATGCAATATGAATAACAGTGACTATGGTCTATTATATTTATACAAATTGACGGATGTTGTGAAATACCTTAAAAAAAAAGATTCTAGATTAAAGAACACTTTATTGTCTATTTTAAAATAGGAATTTGTTTTTCATTTGCAACAGTCTTGGTTAAAAAGGATAAAATTACATTAAAAATCACACGACAAAACAACTTGGCAAGGACGAGAAATTTGTTAAGATATTTACAATTTCAAATAGTAAAGTAGTAGAAAGTCAAAAAAAAATCACTGTTTAAAATTTATGTGTATCTCAGAAACAGACCAGCCATTTTAGAAAAGATTAAAACTATAAAACCTAGCATTTTGCTATAAAATAATGACAGCATGCTAATTAAATAAAACATCTATTATGTATACACAGGATACATTATGCATATTCCTCCATGAATAAATAAAAATGTAAGAAACAGGAACAAAATTATATTTACCGTATATAATGCAATATGAATAACAATGAATGTGCGCCTACTATATTTATACGAGTTGATGGATACTGTGAAATACTGTACATATATTAATATGTATTATGAATACACAGGGACACAGGATACAATGCTATGCATTATTTAGTAAACCTATTAAATGTCTTTTGAATTAAGCTAGGTGAATACGTTCGATTTTCAAACAACAGACTGCTAATATTATTTAATATTATTATTTAGTAAAGTTTTTCTTTATTAATGACAGCAGGACCATGTATGTAGGTATTCCCATCATATGGACAGATCTACCAGGTGATAAGTACTCAATAGAGCAATACGAATCAGGGGAATCAACTTTGGGTGGATGGTCAATATTAAAATAAGGTACTGTACGTTTCTACAGTGGTTCTACTCTGGCCCTACAACAGTCCCGGTCAGGGTGGTAGGACAAATACCAGGGAAAATCAGCAATTTCGATTAGATACTTATTAACTGCAGGATAAAAACATTTTTTTTTACTATGACATGGCCCTGGCCACCTAATATATATACGTATAACCCATGAGCTATAGACAAAGACAAAACTAATGAAAAGAAGTTATGTTAATACAATGATGATTATGTATATTTGGCCGGACCAATAAAAAAAGCTTCCGACGCCCCTGGTGTTGAATATTATTATGAATAATAGCAACCTGTCCTACCCTAGACCCTATGCACATAATAATAATAAAGACAATTCTTCTAACCATTGAGGTTTTCTTCCCTCCATGACCATGTTGTAACCATGGAGGAAAATTCGAACTACTGTAGCAAAAACCTCCATTAATTTTGTTTCACTTGACTAGTTCGGGTGTTGGTCTTTTTCATGGAATACCTCCATGGTATTTTGCATATTGATGTTCCATCACAATTGCTACGGATTGTGATTGTGTGTTATTTTACCAGGTCAGTATATTGACAACAATTGAGCTCTAGGGGCCAGATTTACCAAACTAGAAATCAGCTTTCAATTCGTCTTATTAAAGTCCATTTTTTTTTTTTTTTTGCTTATTAAAGTCCGATTTATTAATGTGGCTTAGCTTTATAATTGCTTAAAATTAAAAAGTCAATGGTACACATGTGCCATCTAAGATGACTTTTACATTAAGATTTTGTTAATACGGTTTGATAAATCATCTTCATATTTGCTAGGGACATCTTATGTTTTCTGACATTTGCTTAGCTGAGATTGATAAATCCCGGGCCAGGTTTGCCAGATAGTCGACAGGCTTCACGGCCAAACACACGCCATCTTAAGCCAAATTTGGCCAAACTTTTTTTAATATCGGCCAATATTTGGCTAGATTTTTAAACGGATTTGTATATATTACGGTATTAAGCAATTAAGTAGAGCTCCGCATAGTATACTTAGGAAAATTATTATACGAAGGTTAGATATAATGCTTGAAAAAATTGAGAGCCTGCAAGGGCCGAAGCAAATTTTTGAATGCATTAAATCTAACCTAAGTATAATAATTTTTTGCTAGCATCAGGGATTTCAAAAGTTTTGGAAGTAGAAGGCTGAACCTGAAAAGTAGCAGATGCACCATATATCATCAAAGTTCTGAGGGGGTGGGGGTGTGGTGCATTTTTGGAGCTCTGTTTATGGATATATTTTATTAAACAAAATAATGTTTCTTTGTAAGTTTTTTTGTTTTATTCAGCTGGTCATAATGTTGAGTTGTACCATACTGTACTAATATAACAGACATATAATACAATGTAATAATTTGTAATAAGTTAATTTATTATCAATACAATTTCAAAAAGGACTGATATCATGACATTACTGTACAGTAAAACATTTTGTTTCTGCAAGGTAGGTATTTATTGTAACAGGCCTGAAGTACTGTTTTATATACTGTGGAAAATAATAAATAGAAGTAAACTTGGTACATGTTGCATAATTTTTGTGTGGTTGCTCCTGGATATAATCGGCTACAACATTACCATGAGTTGGAATCTGAAAAATAACAATATAAAACAAATTAATAAAAGCTTCACTAAATACATTTTTGGACAAATCTTGGTCTGTATTAATAAACCTGCGATTAAAATTGAATTGTACTTTAAAATTACTTTTGTAAAGCGAGGTTAAGTAGAACCCAAAGAGAGATTTACTTTAAATTCAATATTAAGTATGAAAAGTTAAGCAATTCCTTGAATTATTGAACCCTAATAAACTAAACAAACTGAATGTTTAATAGGAATATCCTAGACCTATTTTAAAGACTCAAGGAACGAAATTAGATGTAGGCCTACCGCTAGGCAGGAGGCTGCCGAGACCTCCTCCTATTACTAGCCTAGACCGCAGCCTAGCTAGTTTTGAAATCATCCCATGAGTTTTACCTGTCTGCACAGACCAAAAAGTTAGTGACATTGATTGTATTCGCTCTCGAATGCTTTAAAAAAATTTTTTATTTCTCTGACGAATGTGAAACATTACAAACAAGTTCTTCTAACAGAATACAAATTACAAAATAGGCTAGTTATTCATCGTATCCGTACTGTACTGCTGATGTGTAGTTAAAGCGTACTGCAGGAGCACAAGTCAGCGTACGCACAGCTAAATGTCTAATCATATCACTATAGCATGCAATAACTGCTACAACAGTTGGTCAGTAAAACCAACATTAAAAGACGGTGATTGACTTATAAAGCAATTAGCAAGGCATGCATCATAACAAAACTGCTGCATAATGTACAGTATTTCTTGATTTCTAGTTTTGCTGTGACTACCAAAAGCAAAGCACACCGGTCTGGCCTAGGCCCCAGATTGAGATTAAACTAGTCTTATCACTCATAAATCCATACTTTGTACTTCTGTACGTAATTCAGAAGCAGTGTTTGAGTGTTAAGTATTCATTCACTGTTTGATACTGTGATTATAAATTCATTGGTTAGGAAATGTCTATTTTATTAAACAAATGTAGCCTACCATTTAAGTCTAGGCTAGGCCTACCTAGTCTAAAAGAATACAAGTAAACCCGTACCCATGCCAACCTCTACCCAAATTTTGGATGAATCGCACACAGAATTTTGACGAACCCGTACACATCTTTGGTCAACCCGTACATAGCGAACACTAACCCGTACCCAAGTTTGATGAATGATATTTTTACTACTGTATAATAAAAAATTTTGCAAACTGTATTGTATATTTAGATAGTACAGTAGAAACGCTCAATTACGAACCCCGATTTAACAAATTCCCGATTTTACAAACATAATTTCAAGCTGATGATGTCATAAAAAGTAAAGTGAAAACTTAAAAAAAAAAAAAAAAATCCGCTCGAATTGTAACTGTTATTACTGTAGCATGCATACCATACTATACTCTATAAACTAAGACCAAGGCCTAACTTTGCCTAAAATTTTCAACTTTTTAAATTTGGTTTCTTTACTACCAGTACCAGACTTCTATTTGCCTAGCAATTAATATAGCACTGCAGGGTAGTAATACCCTCGTTGCTTGCTTATAATACTAATAGAAACATATCCCAGATTAGTAGACCTAAGTTGACTTAATATATTAAAGAGAATAATAAGCAAACTAAATAATTCTAACAAAGCAAAAACCTGCATTAACTTTGTTTCACCTGAGTAGTTTGGGTGTTGTTATTTTGCATAGGTTGATGTTCATCACAATGTGCTTTTACCAGGTCAGTGCTAACAACAATTGAGCACTAAAAAGGAAGCACAAGCTAAATGCTTCAAGTGAATTAGCATGTTGTTCAATGAATACCATAGCCATGAAAGCCAATGTTGGGACAGTGGAAAAAAGAAAATTATTTTAAAAGTGAGATTTGCTTGTGGATTTGTTGTGCATTGTAAATGTCACTTTTCATTTCATTGGTCTTTTATTTCATAAATATCTATTAAAATAAACTGTACATGATAACAAAAACTGTACAATTAAGAACTACAGTAACCAGACCCATATAACACTACTCAGACCGGTGTATGTTAATTTGGGATACAAAAAACATAGGACACTTTATTATTATTTAAATTCTTATTCGCCAGTAAGAAATTCACCATAGAATAGAACTAAACTTCTACAGTAGATAATTAGATTGGAAACAGAAAATAACCAAGTTTTAAGCAAAATTAATACTACTGTAGAGTTTCCCTAATAAACAGAATTGGTCAAGAAACCATACCAGAGATGTTGACTGCAAAAAAAAAAGACTGCTGATGATACTTCTAAAAAATCTCTTTATTATAGAGTCCTTATTATTTGAAAATACTGATATTATTCAATGGTTCTGTACATTAGTCAAAATTTTCTTTTACTGAAGCCTCACGTCCAAGGGCGTCGATCCGTGGCTGAAAGTGGGATGGGGGAACGAGATGAAAAATAAAGCCTTGGGTCGTAGGCCCAAGCAATGGTTGGGGACCAGGGGGCGAAGCCCCGGAAGCTCTGGCGCATATAGCCTTTTAATTGATTTTAAGCAATGCAATTAACATTTATTTCCATACGAAATTTTCAAAATATCCAGTGGCGGATCCAGTAATTTGAAATAGAGCTGGGCTAGAGAGGGACTTTTACAGTGGAGAGTGTAGCTGGACTACCACCTCAGCCTCACCATGTTGGGGCTGAGGAGGTAAGAAAATTATGGTTATGGCACCTTCAGTTGGTCAGAAAAATGGCACTCTCAGACTGAATTTGAATATAATTTTAATTTTTCTCCATTTTTAATTTTCGAAAAAAAAAAAAATAGTGATGGTGGGCCAGCTGGGCCCCTTGAATCTGCCACTGAAATACTCAACATAAAAAGTTTTTAAAATTATCCTTTTTAGTCATAATTATGCCCGCTTATATATTTTGTGCAAACTAACATTTATAAAAGTAATGATTTTTTATCTACTGATTGTAACGTATTCAAAATTCGAACTATGAAAAACAAATAGGCCTAAGATAAACTTAAAACAGTCATTAATTTTAGTCTTTTTGCATGTACAGTACTTTTAAAATCAATCAAGAGGTTTTTCTTTTCTCCTCTTTTTGAATTTCACTTTTGTGTAAGTAATATTGCGATAAATTATTGTGAGTGGAAATAATACCGTCTAATTTATGATCAAACAGGACTAGGGAGATAGGGAGCACACAAAACATTTGTTAGCATTTTGATTTCACAAACATAAAGGTGATTTAATACTTAATTTATCATTATCAGTGGCGGCTCCAGGAAAGCAAATTAGAGGGGGGACAGGGAGGGACTTGCACAATTGGAAAGTAGAACACCTCAGCCCCACCATGGTTGGGGCTGAGGAAAGAAAATTTATGATTATGACACCTAGATTGCCGGAAATGGCACTCTCTGACCTAAAATTCTAATAATTTTCCTTTGTTTTTTTCCCATTTTTTAAAAATAATTTTGAAAAAATTAGGGTCGGTTCGGCCCCACTTGAATCTGCCACAGATTATTATGACGTTATTGCGAGACTGCGTCAACGTAACAATGGAGTTTGTAAACTTTTGGTAGGCTTATCACTTAATCGAAATAGGTAGACATCATATCCGTGTTAAAGGCTGAAATTAGAAAAAAACAGTAATCCTATGTATGTAGATAATATTAAACACTAGATACGTATGGGTCAGAATAATATACGAAAAGAATAAATCGTTTATATTAGAATTTGTGCACTTTTGAGTTTGTAAAAATATTGGCCTAATAAGGATACATGCTTCCAATTTTAACAACATTCAGTACATTGTTTTCACAATAAATTTAGCCTCTGATAGTCGTTGCACCCATAAAATCGATCTAGTGGGTTTCTGGGATGGTTACGAAATGTTTAAACAATTGCGTTTTTACTCGGTTTTGGTCCGGAAAATATGTACCACACTTGTGAACAGCCAAAATTCATGAGTCATGCGTAGTTGTTATTCTTTCCATTCGCTTTTAAAAGTGGGGTTTTAATTATAGAAGATTGGTGAAAAGTTGGGGGGGAGACAATCGATATGATGTCTCCCCCCCCCCCCACTTTTCAAAGTGGGTGGGGGGACGCGTCCCCCACCGATCGACGCCCATCCATGCTGTCATTTTTTGGAGTCGCCGTACTCATTCAATTTGTGTGTAAATCAGTGGATCCTTTGGTTTTTAGACACAATATTGGAAACAGAAAATATAAACTTAACAAAACACTTAAACAATGAAATTGCCCTCAATGCAAAGTATACAAAAATTGAAAAGATACATATGATATGGTCGGCACAATAAATATACAATCATATAATAGACAGTTAACATTAAAGATGGGAAGAATGAACAACAGGCACCTAATAAATTGGATTGAGGTCAAAGACACAAAATTCATATAATAACTTTGTGTACATTCTGAAAAGTCAGTACAGAGCCAATATATTCTCTTTGGAAACTTTTGAACAGTAAGTAATACAATTTCTATCATAATTTGAATACAAGCATGTTGACAAAAGCGTACAGCTACCAACAGAACATCGCTACATGGGTAGGCAACAAAGACTTGTGATCCGCTTATCAGGCAAAAAATACTGTTTTCAAGCAGTACTGGACAATATCAAGTCCTCCTTCGGAGGTCGTCAAAGATTTAAAGAAAGAAAGAGGTGGGAAGGAGTTAGAGAAACATTCATTTTGACCATGATGACGTTTATCAAATTGAAAAATGAATGACACATTGTGAAAGAAAATAGTCTCAGCTGTAACATGCTCAAAGGTGGGAGATGATCGATCAAAGAATAAGCGAGATACGTTCAAATGATTATAAAAATAATGACGTCATAAATAAAATTTAATAAAAAAATTCAGATGGCAATACGATGACGTCACAATGTCTGATCAGCCGTAATGATCTGTAAAATCATATCTACATGTGCTTTCAGAATATGTAATAAAAATTGGGGGTCATCTTTCATCCTAAGGAGCTATAAACTGATTAAAAATAGCATGATTTTGAGCATTTTAAAATTTTGACGCACGTGTACATGCACGTTATGATGCGCACACGAAATTAAGGTACATTGCATTCAACCTTGACCTGAATTTTATGCCCACTGAATATGATTTAGAAATGACAATTTGTTAGGATGATATGTGGGTCGTTAAAGATTAGAGGAAAGAAAGATGAGGGGGGTCAGAAAAAAACATTCATTTATTTTATGACCATGATGACTTCATCAAAATGTGAAAAGAAGATGCATTTATGAAAGAAAATTGTCTCAGCTATAACATACTCAAAAGCGGAACATGTAATAAAAATTAGGGGTCACTGTTCATCCTAAGGAGCTATAAGTGATTAAAAATAGGCTTGAATTTGGCATATTTTCACTGTATGTCGACACAAATGCGCGGAAGGATTTGTATGTTTGATACACGCGTACAGCATTGCTATTGGCCATAAGATTACTGAAAAGAATGGAAATCTGTGCATACAGTGTCAGGAACCCAAAATATAAAAAAAAACTTTAATTCTAGCTTTCGCACGTACTGTGCACGAAAAAATGCATGTGCTGCGCTGGAATTTTGAAAATTGTTGAAATGCTCATAATGGCCTGAAACATACTCTAAAATAATCAAAGCATTTTAGAATTTTGATGCGCACATTATACTAACTGAATATGATTTAGAAATGGCAATTGGTTAGGATGATATGATCGATAATGTAAAAACACAAAATTGCTTGTAGATGACAACCCACAAGGCTAATGACATTGAAAAGCTTATTATGACTATTCCACGTCAAGCCAAGTGTTTGTTGATGCTGTCATGTTAGTAGCTCATGGCAATTTTGGGATATCATGTTAAGAATAAATGGGGAGAAAGAAAGAAAAAAAAAAGATGATCTCTGACAATAACAAAAGGTGATCCGCTTGAGATGCGGATCACCAATATTAATTTGTTACATCTACAAAACCAATAGATTTTTTTGTTGCAACCTACAGAATTATATTTTCATTTCTATTGTCTTTCCTAAATATACTCTTAAATTTTGTGGCAGCAAGTTTAGGGATTTTTATAGTAAATGACTACATCATTAAAATCTGATGTACTGTATGGGACTGACTGTGCACTATCCTATTGCATTGATTGTTATTTGGATTTCTTTACTTGTCTTTTAGAAAAACATTACCAGTCACATTAAACCAACAGTTAACCAAGATGACATGATATAATTCATCCAACAGTGAGGAGGCACGACCACTTCAGAGTTGGTTTGTGGTGAGGGATATTGGATCATAGGTACTGGTAAGTAGTGTTCAGAATGTGATACTGTACTTGTCAAGAGTTAGTAGAAAACATATTTTGTGAAAAAATGTTTTGAAGTGTCAAAGTGGACCTTTCTAGTGTGTAAATCAAATTTAACAACTAACCAATCAGAACAGAGCCATGAATACGTGCATGTCAAACACATGTGTCCCACAAACGCGCACATGTATGCATATGTCTGCATAACACTGTAGTCTTGTGGGACCTTAGCAACAATATACAAGTCAAGCAACTACTGTATACATTAACTATTAGTGAAATTGATAAATTCATAAGAAAACTATTCTGATGTTATTTACATTTTTTTAAACATTTGATTTTTTTTGTTTCAATTTTAAGACATTCTAATTTTGTACAATGCGAACATTCTAATTATTTAAGTATTTCTATCTTATTAGATCTTCAATGTTTTTTTTTCAAACTGCTCTCAAGTATCTTAGGGCCTGTTTCTACTGGAAAGAAATAATCGATTAAAAATCCCTTTTTCAAAAAATCGCTTTTATTCTCGCAGTAGAAACGGGACCAGTTTGAAAAAAGCGATAAAAAAAAATCGATTAAAAACACACGCAATGGATAGCGTGTTTGAACGGCAAATAAACGGGGGGTGGGGGGGGTGGTGCCGCAGCCACTTCAAGACATGAGGCACTTGTGCTACCTATTTTACTGAAAATTCTTATGGACTTGAACTACCTTTTTAACCAAAATTGCACTGTGCTCTAAAATACAAGAAGAAAAATGCCACTCATTAGTGCCAGAGCTGTCTCTTATACACATCTAGATGTGTATAAGAGACAGGAGAAAGATACTATCCTATACAGTTAGGAAAACAAGGTGTTGTATAAACAAAATGGTGACATAATTTCCGTCACGAAAACCGATTTTCGAAAAATAAAAAATGCAGTTGCAACGCCAGCAGTCTGTCTGGTACTCATTAAAAAAACAGTTTTAAAAAATCGATTATTTTGTGTTTATCAGTAGAAACACACCCTTAGAATGTTATTGTTATCTTGCCCTCATCTGAGCTTTCGAGATTACAATAACTTGTATCTACAGACTTAGCTTTACTTGTTAATCATCAAAATCATCAAAAAAGTTTTTTGTCATTGGTTATATAGTTCTGGCATTGGTAGAATACAGTACCAGTATACAGATTTATTACACTTTTTAATCACCAATATTTTAAGGGTGGTGCCAGTGAGGTGGGGGGGGGGGAATGGCACCTCTCCCCTGTCGGGGAGAAAAACCAGGAGGAAAATAATTGTATGTATTTTCTACACATAATCTAAATCAATAAATAAGCCTTTGAAACCCCTAAATTGTTAAAATTTTTAAGGCTTTACTGCTTTTGGAGTATTTTGAGCGACATCTATGTTTTCCTCACCTTTAAGACAAGATAGTTTTTATACCATTTCACAAGACTTTTTTATATCTTGTTTAGTGAAATGTTGTAAAGAAAAGAGAAATTTTTCGGATTAATAAAAAATATAATTATGCTTTAAATTGGAAGAAATGTAGTTTCTCATTTTGGGAGATTTGGAGGAATATAAAATTTATTTTTTCATATTTTTTTCCCCGGTGATGAAAGACTCACTGGCCAAAATGAAAGTAAATTTTCTAAAATCATCATTAATTTGGTAGTGGATAGTAATATTTAAATGTGAACTGGGAAACAGAATGAAACCATTTGATATACTGTACTTGATAGCTAAAATTGAAAGAAGTGTAAGTTTCAAGCAATTATTACTTTCTGTTTTTATATATCAATTTTAGTGTCAAGCTTTGTGAAAATCAACATTTAATTAGTAAATTACTGCAGTGCTAATGTGAGAAGTAAAGCACAGCGGAAAGATGGAGAAATCGGGTAAGATATAATATTTTGTTGACATTTTATTGTGCTTTCTAACATGTAGCCATCTTAAAGCATTTCATATCATCATTCTGATCATTGAAAACAAGTCATGTGTAACCTCCTCCCCCTGGCAAGCATCCCCAGTCAAACATGAATATTCAGTATAGCAAAAATTTGTTCTTTCTTTACTTTCTTTCCCCGTTCAGGGAATGTATTCAGGTACATGGGCCATTGGCCCTAATACAAAACATAATTCATTGTAACATAATACACTTCCTTCTTTTTTTGAACGCAAAGTAGACTTACTTTGCTAAATTAATAATATATTTTTTATTTGAGAATAATAAACAGAGCTTGTTGATAATTGGATATAAATAAATAAATTGTGGAATAATAAATAAATAAATTGTGGAATATATTTGCTTCAGACTAAAGCTGCATTCACATCAAAGCCTGGATCCAGTCCGGTGCCTGGAAAAAATCGTTAAAAATGGGTTCTGTGGTAAAAAATAGGACTGTTCACATAAAATTCATATGATTTCCAGCCCGGACTCGGGACCTGGACCGATGGATCAGAGCCATTTGTATCGTGAAATCATATGTTTTTTTTCGTTGGACCAATCAGCAACAAGCTTGATTGGTTCGAACCAATCAAACGCATATATTCTTAACCTCAATAACCAGTGCTCCGGACAGATCTGGGCTTGATGTGAACGTAGCTTTTTATGGACATTGCAAAATAAAATGAAATTATCTTCAATAGTGTTGTTATAAATTGCAAATCTTGCAAGTTCTTTTTTCCCTATAAATATTTTCCTCCCTCTCCTTTTTAATCTCTAGTTCCAGTCTAATCTCAACTTTTTAAATAACTGTCTGTGTTTTAAATTTCTAATATTTGTATAACGATAACTTAAACTTAAACACACCCTAGCAATACTGTACCTGTGAGAGAGACAATTTCCTAAGGTGTGCTAGCAAATGAAACCCATCTATACTGTACTTGTGAGTAGAGAGGGAAAAGTTTCAATGAAGTGCTAGCAAATGGTCAGTAGTACCCATCAATACTGTACCTGTGGGTGTGGAGAGATAAGTTCCAAAGGTGTGCTAGTAAATTGATCTACCCATCAATACTGTACCTGTGAGAGAGACAAATTCCCAAGGAGTGCTAGTAAATGATCAGTCCCATCGATACTGTACCTGTGAGAGAGACAAGTTCACAAGGAGTGCAAGCAAATGATCAGTACTATGCCGATCAATACTGTACCTGTGAGAGAGGCAAGTTCACAAGGAGTGCTAGTAAATGATCAGTCCCATCAATACTCTACCTGTGAGAGAGACCAGTTCCCAAGGAGTTTTAGTAAATGATCAGTACTCTACCCATCAATACTGTACCTGTGAGAGAGACAAATTCCCAAGGGGTGATAGCAAATGATCAAGATACTTATATTTGATTAAAGTTTTAGTTATGTGTAAGTAAACAGTATTTTGGAATGAATTAGCTTCATTATTTATGAGACATTTCTATTTTGTTAATTTCAAAGAAATTACTGATGATGCATTTGAACAGATTTTGTCAATTATTTCGGAATGGTATGACCAGCTTGGATATATCAATATGCTGAAAGTGTTGTACAGAGATCTTTTGAAAAACAATTACGAGTTGAATAGGGCTATCAAGGTGATGGACTTAATGAAGTTGTTGATTGCTTCTGGAGATCTGCACCCAACATACCTCAATCTTCTCTATGATACCATACACATAACAGAGCAAAGAGGGATCAAAGATATACTGCCAGTATTTCAAAATGTTAAGGATGTAGAAATCTCAAAATTCACACATCACAGACAAAAAGTTATGAAGCTTGGAATGGTACTGAGTGTTGAAGATGTAGAAAAGATCAGTGGATTGTACAACCGACCAATAAAGAAATATGCAGACACATGGAGTTTGATTATGGATCTGGAACGCAACAGAATAATTTGTGAAGGAAAATTGAATGCCTTCGTTGAAAAGCTGAATGCCCTTAAACTCCAACATGCTGTGGAAGCTTTAACAGAAGGTATTTAATTAAATTGCTATTCTATATCAATGTAATAATTGTTACATCAGAGAGGATCAACTGTCCAACAGTAAAAACAAAGAATCTGCAAAGCAATGCAAATTTAAAAAAAATTTACTTTTTGGTCGTCTAGGATACAAAGAATTTTGCAGGGCCTCACTTCCGGGGCCCCCTTTTGGATATCTCTAGATCCGCCCCTGTTAACAGTAATGATTTAATTTTTAGCCGGTTAGCACACCCTCTACCATTAAAAATGTAAATTTTAGAGAAAAACAATTTTATTTTTATTATGCTATCCATCTGAAATCTGCTAAAATAAGATATGGTATTTCTTCCTTAATTACTGTATATAATTTTAAAGCATTTATCAATCTCATTAAGGGCAAATAGAAAAATGTGTTTGATTATCACTCCCGCCCACATCAAGAATTTGGGAAATATTGATGCGGGAATAAACAGGCTGTGGAAGCCTCAAGAGAAGGTATTCAATTAAATTGCTATTCTACATCAGTGTAATTATTGTTACATCAGAGAGGATCAACTGTCCAACAGTAAAAACAAAGAATCTGCAAAGCAATGCAAGTTGATTGACAGTATCATCAATCAAGGGACACAGCCAATGTGTGGAGTAGGACACAATTAAATCCCTCAAATCATTGTACAACTACCTACCAATGAAAAAATAAGATTATTGTCAATGCAAGAAAAGCATATTACGGTAGGCCTCCAACTAACAGGGATTACTCTATTAATGGTGGACCAACGTAGTTTATTTTATTTCTTTTTAGATTTTTTGTCATTTAAAGGTGTCTACAGCCTGGTTCACATCAAACTTTTATCTAGATAGATCCACTTAACTAGTTAAAAGTTTGACGTGAACCACTCAATTATAGCTAGATAAAGGAATTAAGTCACTTAAGTTAAGTGACTTAACTTTACTAGAATAACAGTAAATTAACTTGCTTAACGGTAAAGTCGGCTCGGATTACAAGGACACGATTACGTAACGTAGGCATCTAAGCCAGCGTTGTTG